AGACCTTGCACCCGCGCGGCTGGCGAAAGTGTATGGGCAGCTCTCTAAGACCCAGCTCTCGACGCTTGTTGTGCTCACCGCCATGTCCGGCGTCGCGCTCTCTCCGCTGCCTGCGTCGATCCCCATCCTCCTCTCGACGGCTCTCGGCACCGCCCTCTGCAGCGCTTCCGCCAACTCCCTCAACCAGCTCCAGGAAGTGCCCCTCGACGCCCAGATGCCGCGCACCCGCAACCGTCCCCTCGTCCGACGCGCCATTACTCCCCTCCACGCCACCGCCTTTGCTGTCGCCACCGGCGTCGCAGGTCCCGCCATCCTCTGGTCAATGGTCAATCCCACTACTGCAGTCCTCGGCGCAGCCAACATCGCCCTCTACGCCGGCCTATACACGTGGATGAAGCGCCGCAGCATCGCCAGTACCTGGGCAGGTGCTGTCGTGGGCGGCATTCCCCCCGTCATGGGTTGGACCGCGTGCGGTGGCGTTCTCCTCCCCGACGCTGCTCATCACGCTCATCTCTTCCTCCCCTCATACGCCCCAATAGACCTCGTCGCTATTGATAACCCCCTTGCGCCGTTTGCCCTGTTCATGTTCCTCTACAGCTGGCAGTTTCCTCATTTCAACTCACTGTCGTACATCGTACGCGGTTCATATGCCGCTGCAGGCTACCCCATGCTCTCCGTCATCTCTCCATCCAAAAACGCCCTTGTCTCCCTCCGACACGCTCTCCTACTCGCCCCGATAACCAGTATACTCTTTCCCATCTCGGGTCTCACCACATGGTGGCTCGCTCTCACTTCTCTTCCACCCAATCTGATTTGCATCATGGCTGCATGGCGGTTTTGGCGTAGTGGCAGCGAGAAGGATGCTCGTGTCGTATTCCAACATAGTCTCTGGTACTTGCCTGTTATGATGGCACTCATGATGGCACACAAACAGGGCGTCGATTGGTGGAGTTGGGTTGGACTTGGTACAGATGACAAAGAAGAGGAGAAGAAAGTCATCTAAAAGTAGCCATATTTTGAATTCTTTCTCTGTGTAGGCCTTTTGTGTGATATTACATGCTGAATATTGAATCAAGAGCGTTTCGCATCCAAAGCAGAGAAATGATCGAACCCAGTGTTTTGTTTCAGCTTTGTCAAAGGTTAGTAACATATTGGTCCCTCTCGAAGTGGTATCCATAATTGTTGACGACATGCTGTCTGGAATATAATACAGATAAGGTCCACGCATGAACAACCGGGGCCCATACTCTATACATCTGGTCGCATCCAAGTATGCTACTGGACATCTCTCCTTTCGAATGACGCAAAAACCCTATCAACATATGCCCACCATTCACACAGAGTCCCAATATATGAAAGAGTTATCCTTTTGTACCTGCTTTATAAGCCATACTAGTGAGCAAACTGTTCTGGGAGATAGAGCAATCTCACACTACCCAGGAAAAGATGCACTAGGCTTTCTGGTGATGTTGAACGTAGCAGGGCATCTGAGTGCTTGCAAGAACAACTTTAGTAGTAACATTTGTCTGTCATAGGTGGCATGTAAGGAGTGGTTGTATCAAAGATAGTAAAGGTTTGAAATCTAAATCTGCCTAATCCCTTTGCACCTTTCTTTGAGATCACAAGACACTGGAGGGGTGATGTAAATCCCTACAATATATGTAGGGGGGGGATCAACCTTAGCAGGAGCCTTTCTGAAGTCTTTCTGCCCTGACATCAGGTGAAGCATCTCAAAGAAACAGTGCATGTGCCTCATCCTCAACATCACTCTTGCAGAACCAGCATAATCTAAATTTTCTCCATGCCACCCAGGAGCAATAGTGCTCAGTGTGTCTTAGCCCTTCAATGCCAAGGTCATAATTAGACGCCATGAGTTTAGTAGATTGTGTGGGTGTTGGAATGCTGAGGTAGTGGTGGAACGAGGATATCTTTGTGTTGGAGGATGCAAGCAGTTGTTGATATAACAGGTGCAATTTAGCAGAGGAGGTAATGATAGCCTGTAACTCCATTTGAGAGCTTGCTGCTGTTCTCATTCCATAAATCAGCCCCATTCCATGTGAACTAGCACTGGTGTTCCTCTGGGCACTGCAAGGTTACCTAGAACCTTAACCATGTTACCCACCCATGAGGCCTTTCCAGATGCTGTGAGATATGCAGAGTCCTGCAAAGCAAGGTGTGCATAATGGTGGGAAGGGAGCTTCATAAGGTAGGATGGGTAGCAAAGTGCCAAGTGTTATTCTCTGGTGGGCTAGGGGCATCATGCCAGTTTCTGTGAACAGAGAGAGGTGCAAGCATAGATCACGTTCCCAGTTCCAAGAGCCATCTGCAGTATGCAACCTGCACAGCAGCAAGAGGAGCTTGGAGTGATGGTGAGATGTCAAGAATGACTTTACATCCAAAGTTCAGATGTGGATCCTTCACATGGAAGAATGACATCAACCATGGATTGGATGCTGAAGGGGACATTAGCAATGGTCTGTGTCTTTTCTGCATGCCATAGGGATAGTACCCAGAAATGTTAATTCGAAATTTGTGGTGGTGCTGGGTATGTGAAGTAACATATGGTTGTTGGTGTGAAGCCTGTGGCCATGATGTCTAATCTGCGCCCATCCCTCATCAGGCAATCTTGGTCAGCAGAGGATTTGAGAACTTTAAGCCATCACTGTCCATGCCTTCATAGAGACACTCCTTGCCATTGTGGGCACGAGTGTGAGGTGTACATAGTTGTAGGTAGTACTGGAATTGCATAATCTAATTAGCAGGCTGGATATCCTCAGAACAACACTTGACGAAGCACACAGCAGTCCTGGTAAGCAGATGCTTGACAAAGCACACAGTGCCCTAGGCCAGTTGTTCCTCTGGTTCATGTGCACTGAAAGAAATAGTGTTCTGTTGCTCTCAATCAAAGTACAACTTTGACCTCCTTAATTGGGGAAGAGGAGTTCATTCTACATAGCACCATCACATTATTGTGTTGACAACTCACAGAACCTCGCGCATGCTTGCTTAAAATAGTCAACAATCTGTAACAAGATAATAGCAGAGAATTCGGAAGGAATACCGTAAACAATCGAAATGCCATAAGTTAGCGTTTGCACTTGGACGAAATGTAGCGAAAATGTTCAATATCCTGTCTCCGAATCTGTTGTATCAGTAATTGATGCAGCGCAGGACGGCACAAATAACGATATAAACGCAATCTTCTCATTAGTACAAACCCTTACACACGTGTATCTACGTCGCACTTCCAAAGATCTGGTAGCGCCGACAAATGCTTGGTCCAATCTCGTCGTATTGTGCCTTGGTGTGGCACGACGTGTAGAATTCGGGCTAGAACGATGCCTGAGTCGGATATTTTGAATGACATCACTGCAGATACTTACGAGAGACGCAAGAAGAGATCCACCGTACCAGACTGCGTATCTGTTGACTGTGTTTAGCGATGTCTGACGGGATCGAGTCTGCTACGGACCTTTGACGTTTGTGTGAAATGACGTCAACTTCGACACCTGAGGACTGGAGAGACGGTTAGTTGTTACGAATTTAAGCAAAGAAAGAGAGAAACCTTGTGCGCGCTACCGCTCGTAAGCACGCTGGTATTGAGCCTACGATCAACTAGCTGCTTGAGATCGCGCTTCAGGCGGTTACCAAAGTGTTGGAACATGGTCGAGCCTCCCGAGAGCACGATGTTCTTTTGAACAAATCAGCCTAAACGAGAAAAACGGAACCGTTTCTGACGGACCTTGTACAAACCACGACGAACATCGATGGGCGACGATTGGATAACGTCGTCGACAATTTCGGGGAGAGGCGTAAGGAAGTCGGACGAGTAGATTTCGGGGTTGAAGAAGATTTCGGGTGCGAGGAAACGCTCGTATCCTACGTCAATACTGTATTTCTTTGAGAGGGTCAGCTTTGAAAGCCAAATGGACATCAACGACAGCACTTACTCTACCCGTAACCGAGTGTTCGCTCTCGTACCTCTCGAAATACTTCAAGGGGTCTTCATCATATTTCCTGAACTCCCTCACGATATCCTGACACACGTAACTGTAATTCTCCTTCACCTTGCCTGCGACGCGAAGATGATCCTCAGGAGGCACATTCACCAACTCGCCTCTCTCACGCATGAGGTTCAATACGAACTGCGAGATGTCGCGGCCGGCGATGGGAATGTGCTTGATCGCGCTTCCGATCACGTACCCTTCTGCACAGGGGATGACATGTGTGACACCGTCGCCCGAGTCGATGACGGTGCCAGTGAGTGTGCGGTCTGTAACGCGGTTAGATGTCCAGGATGCAGCGAGGGCGAGGACGGCTTGCACGGCGATGTAGAGGCCCTTGATGTTAAAGGATTCAAAGAAGATTTCAGCGGTTTGTTCGCGATTCTCGGGCGGGTTGAGGGGAGGTTCGGTCTGCCGGTGTACTCAGTGGCGGGGGAATCGTGGATTTGAACTTCGATACTCACTAGCAGGAAGTAGTGATCCTCCGGCTCGGCTCTGAGATATTTGAAGATGGTCTGCTCCCAATACCTCTCCATGTAATCCCAATTGTCGATCATGCCATGTCGAATAGGATAATGGACGCCATAACCGGGAGTTTTGGCGTTTGCGAGTGCTTCGTCGCCAATGAAGAAGTCAAGGTCCTCGGTGCCACGCTTGGACGCGAGACGTGTGTTTTGGATGGGACGAGTTGCAATAGCGGTGGGAAAGACGCTGTGGATCAGTCAGTTGTCTATTTGGAATTGAAAGAGTGGTGGGGACGGACAAGGAGGGATCAGAGTTGCCGGCGAATCTGGATTGCAGTTAGTCGGTGACTTGTCGAAACGACAGAGAACGCACCCGACTTTGGAGTAGCCCGTCCCGTTGTCGCAGATAATCGGCGCGAGCACTGACATTGTTGCAGAGAATGACGAGCACAAGCGCGCCGACGTTGGCAGCTGCGCTCACGTGGAAGACACACAACACTGCCTCGGATACGCGAAATCAACCCATCAACGTGCCAATGTGGCTCAATGGATAGAGCATCGCTTTCCTACTTTTCACAGGCGAAGGTTGTGGGTTCGACCCCCATCATTGGTTTTGCATCGTCACATTACAGCATTCCTTTCACTAGTCTAACAATGACTTTGGTCCAGAATCTAACGTTCCTCTGCTCACCCTTCCACTCTGTCGCATGGGCTCTTAAACCCTCTACTTCATCTTTCAGCTGTTTCTGAACGAGTGCAGTGGGCGATAAGATTCCTTTAGGGGAACTCCCTTCTGCAGAAGGTACGAGCATGACGAAGGACAGCTCGGTGTCAATATGAGCTGAACGAGAGTTGAGGTTTGTCGAACCAAACAGCGTGAGGACAGGAAGGGAAGAAGGAGAAAGAGATACCCAGATTCCTAGGAACAAACCGAGTTATAGCTGCAACCAAGAATGCATGGAAATGGGCACCTTTGGCATGATACGTCCATCCATCCTTTTCCCACTCTGTGAGCTGGACTCCTGTTCCCTGTTTCCACAATCGACCTGCCCTCTTCACGGCTGTCATGAACCGCTGCTCGAGCAACGCATAACCCTCCGGTATACGCCCCGAAATCCCTTTCGATCCGTAGAAGCCGTTAGCCTGACGAGATGTTCCAATTAGTGTTCAATGGAGAGCGCATAACACACCTTGGGACTCGCTGCCACTATTCGTGTAGTTACGTTGTTAGCAAGAACAAGATTTTGGTACGTTTCGTAAAGGCCAAAGTAACCACTGGTAAGATCGACCAAGGGTCGACACTGCTCTGCAGGTCGACCCTCAGAGGTGTGGAGGTTGCGGAAAAGTAGCGAGAGCGCCGACTCTTCTTCACGAATATTGAACTGCCCTGCTTGAATGATGGGGAAGAGTAAAACGTTATTTAAATCGATGTCATTGCTCGATGACACCAGACTCTCTTCGGCTGCGAGTTGTATTCCATGTATCGTGCGTTGGGACGACTGAAAGGTGGAGAGCGCCTCTTGTGCCTTCACATGTATTTTATGTGGATGCGTCTGTGGGTCGGGCCAGTCAAGAAAGTAATTCTCGTGTTGGTAGGAGTGAGGTCCAGCGCCAGCCTTTGTGGATAACCTGTAAGAAAAAGTTGATATAGTCTGGAGGAAATCGAAACAGTATTGTGCAAGGTTTGGCTGCTTTGCAAAGTGTATATAGCGGTCTTGGCGATTTGTGAAGTAGGATTTGTTCAGGTTGGCTCTAGACGCGATATGAAGAGGCCGTCAGCTTATGTGGCGTGGTCACGCACCCACTTATGATGATTTCATTGTCAACACCATAGATTTTGGCGTGCCAAGTGCCCCAGCCCTCGTTGAATCGCGGGGGGACTATTTTTGCGAGAAACCCTCGAAGACTTGGACTACGGAACATTGAAACTGTGACCCGGTCCGGAAATTCGTGCAGCAGAGGCAAGAGTATTTTGGCTGTCGAGGATGTCCCCGGGCGAGTTGACCGATTCAAATCCAACTGCAAGTGAAGTTGAACTGATGGCTTCTCTAAGAGAGATTTTCGAATGGCCTCAATCTGTCAATGATACGTTGACACGCACATTCTCAAAACTGCGGCAGAAACGTACTAGCTCAGACTCTGCTGAACCTATGTAAAGTGAGGATATGAATATGCGTTGTTCGGCACGTCGAATCATGTCCTTTGGGTCATTGGAATCAGAGTGAGCGCAATCTATTCCATGACAACTCACAAGTAGGAGGCCATAAAACTCTGTAGGTTCCCTCAAGACCCGTATCATATTCGCAGGCACCGCGAAGGCTGGTTGCGTTTGAGCCAGTCCTGACGCGACTTTACGTACCGAAGTATCGACTGTGTAAGTTGACTTGCATCGTGTGCAGATCCACGATGCATGTGGTGGCTCTTGGACTGTTTGGCGAAGTAAAAGCGATAGATTTGTACTACGAAGTATTGGTCGGCAAGAGTTGAGGGCCGGAGAGTGTATTCTCCGAGCACTTGAACGTGAGCATGAGGCAACCTGCGCTTCGGAGGTCGTAAACAGTCGGGCAGCACATTTTCGTGTGAGAGTACCCGTTAACTCAAGCATTCGGGGGCAACCAGCACAGGTGCCGTGTGTTCAAAAGGAGTGTGGGTGTTCAAGCGAGGTCGAAGGAATAATTATCGAACAAACAACGAAGGCCTTCGTCACTTTTTTATCAAAAAACTTGGCACCAAACATAGTCCGTCATAACATTGGCACAATTAACGAAAGCCCATAACACTGCCCCAAAACTTGAATAAATAGAAATATACTAAATTCCTGAAAGTGGATCATTACAACAACTACTGCTTGAACATCTCCTCAATGGCCGCGGTTGAGTAGGACTTGGGGCGCTCAAGAGCTGCGAGGAAAAAAAAAGTGATGAGCACTACGAAAGTAAGGAGGTACGGAAGAAGAGACATACGAGCACCGAGTGCACGATCCCAAATCAATTGGGCTGCAACACCAAAGGCACGAGATACACCGAAGAGAACGGTGTAGTATTGCATCTGGGTGAGACCATAATAAGAAAGAAGGACTCCAGAGTGGGCATCAACGTTGGGCCAGGGGTTCTTGGCCTTGCCAGCCTAAAATGAAAGCCATTGTTGAGCCGCAAAACACTGAAATCTAGTGAGAACAGACCGTGAGAAGGATGTCAGGAACAATGTTGTAGATTTGTCCGACGAGCTTGAAGAGCTTGTCATCGGGGAGGTGCTTCAAGGCGAATTCGCGTTGAGCAGTGTAACGAGGATCAGTCTTGCGGAGGACTGCGTGGCCGTATCCGGGGACAACCTGTCCACTCTTGAGAGTGTCCCAGACATACTCACTGACAGCCTGGTCAGAAGCATCCTCGCCGATCTTGGCTTGCATCTTGCGGAGCCAAATAAGGACTTCCTGATTGGCAAGACCGTGGAGAGGACCAGCAAGACCATTCAAAGCAGCAGCATAGGCAAGGAAGGGATCTGAGAGAGCAGACCCGACAAGCTTGCCTGTGTGAGCAGAAACATTGCCACCCTCGTGGTCGCTGGAAAAAATTTAGTATATGCTCTTATTTGATACGAGAATAAGAATATACCTGTGAATGGTAATGTAGAGACGGAGAAGCTCAACGAAAGCATGGTTGTCACCAAAGCCGAGAAGGGTGGCAAGGTTATGGGAGTAATCCTTGCCGGGGTCAATGGCGGGCAGCTTGCCTTGTCCGAAAACGTTGCGATAAATACGGCCAGCGATGTTCGGAAGCTTGGCAATTCTATGGGAAGGTGGTGAGCAAAAATAGTTTCGACCATGGATACGAGGCGTACAGATCCATGGAATCTTCAAAGGTAGGTCCCCAGTACTCCTTCTTGGAGATGCCATCCTGGTACGCTTTGGCGAATGCGGAATTGTGGTTCAGCTAAGCAGAAAGTGAATAGGCATCTTATCGACAAGACGATGTACAAATCGACAAACAGCGGTCACGGCCAAACTGAATTGGCTCATGGGGTGGAGGGTCGGAGGGCATCGGTCAAGAATTTCCTCGACGAACTCGGGAATGGCGGAACGAGCAGCCCAGTCTTTTGAGAGTTCAGTGACCTGCTCCTGCGTGGGAACCTCTCCCGTAACCAAAAGCCAAAACAGGCCTTCAGGAAGAGGTTCTGAACCGCCGGGTGCCTTGGGGAGTTGTTCCTGGCACTCAGGGATAGTTTTGCCCCGGAAGCGAATGCCCTCCTCTACCAGTCCATGGATATCTCAAAGTCTTCGTATATAACTAAGACATACCAGAGTCGAGGACTGAACCGTCCCAGATGAGTGCGGGAAGACCTCTCATTCCACTGTGAGATATGTTAGGCGAGGTATGAGTGAATCAATGTGCCTCCAAAAATGCTCACCCGTAAAGCTGGTCAACAAGTACGGAGCCGAAGGCCTTTTTACCGTGTTCTGCACGAACAGCTTTAACCTGAATAAAGGTCATATGAATACCATAATAGTCATGGACCGAATAGAACACACATGTTCAAGTTGAGCAGGAATGAGTTCGGCAAGTCGCTCCTTCAATGTAACGGGTTTTGAGGCTGTTGAGGAGAACCGGACCGAAGAAAACGTGGAACGGGCAACGGGAGAACGCGACTGCAGAGATTCTCGTAAGAAATTTGGTGCTCACAACAGAAGGGAGTGACTTGCAGCTCTGAGAAGGGAGCGAGCGGGAGCAGCCATGGTGGGAAGAAACAGTGGGTGTTTCGGAGAGCAGGCCTGGAAATGCTCGAAAAATATATAGATTTGATCACGTGTCCGCGGGTTCTCTGTCAGTTTCAGTGGTCCACCTTTACCTCCGTACCCACTCAGGTCATGGCAAAGCGTAAGCGTGATAATACGCAGCCCGATAACAAACCCAACGAGGCCGCTGTGGCGCCTCTTCCCCAGGTTTCTTTCAAATTTTCCGTGTAATTGCCCGATCTTACGATTTTTCTAGAAAAAACACTACAGACAACGTGCACACGCTAATCCCTTCTCAGATCATTCACTTGACTACCCGGCTTCACCTCGGCATATCGATTGGTCCACGCATTATCCTGCTTATGCCAATACTGGAAAGCTCCCCGAATTCGCCGATGTCGGGTGTGGTTTTGGAGGCCTCTTAATCGCTCTTGCTCCTCTGTTTCCCGATACTCTCATGCTAGGTGAGATCCATATCATGCAGCCAATCAAGTCCGTGGGCGCTTAGATCGCCACCAAGGGATGGAAATCAGAGTACAGGTCTCGCAATACGTACAAGACCGCATTGCAGCACTTCGGGTTAATGCGGCTTCAGATGCAGCTGCATCATCCACAGAGCAGACTGCTCACTATCAGAACATTTCCATCGTTCGTGCGAACGCGATGAAGTTCCTGCCGAACTACTTCGCGAAGCACTCCTTGACATCTTTGTTTTTCCTCTTTCCCGATCCTCACTTTAAATCACGGAAGCACAAGGCTCGCATTATTTCCCCCACGTTACTTGCCGAGTATGCCTACGCCCTCCGACCCGGCGGCATCGTTTATACGATCACCGACGTCAGGGATCTGCACGAATGGATGCGATCACATCTCGAAGCCTT